TCTCCGCGAGTTGTAGAGTTCGTTTCCGCTCGTCAAATGCATGATTACTAGCATCATTCCTTAACTGAACCTAAACGTTAACAGTTCAATTGCTATGTACGGGTCATAACAGGATTCTGCTTATTTTCTCAAAGTGTAACAACCATGCATGTTTTCACAAGTCAAACATGGTAAAACTAAATTTTATTGGGGAAAAAAAAAGGACACAAATAGGTTGAATGGGAAAAATCCCACTAACAACAATGTTCTTTTTTTTAAGTCAATATTTCCCACATCAGTTTTTTTTATCAATTGCATACATTGTTGGAAAAAGTAAGTGATAAACTAGCAAGTTCCAGAAAACATTTTACCTCCTACTACCTTACATTTGTTTTAAAATAAGTGTGTAATTCTTGTAGATGTACCTACTTGTTTTATTTCCCCTCTTATCTGGTAATACTGGACACAGTGAGGTAACATTTTAATTATTTTCACCTTAAAGTAAGCTTTTAAGTATTTTCAGCTCAGAAGTTTGTCAACATCACACTGTAGGCTCATAACCTAAAGTTAATCTGTCTCTTTTTCAGCTCTTTTTAAACCTGAAGATAGAGAGATGGGCAGTTTTACATGTATAGAAACTCTGTCTAGATCACATAGCAAACAATTGGAAAATAGGAAGTCCTTCCACAGTTCACCAACCTGCAGTCGTGAGACCGTGAGAACATTTCCACTGGTTTTAAAAACCTCAGACATCCTAAGCCATGTCTCAGAATAAGTCTTCAAGTTTTCCACAAAACCAAAAGTGAAATTAGCCTGGGAAAAAGAATTAATGGAGGCAAATGAAGTAAAAATTGTGCATAGCAAGTCTTAAGAAACAGGAAAAACTGGCATGCTTCAGATCATCTCCAACTCCTTTCCATTCCACTTTGATAGTCAGCAGTAAGGATATTCATGTTGTTTTTTTTCTGCTTCAAAAATGAAAAGTATTTGTTGTAGTCTCTGAATATCAAGCAAATCAAAGTCTTCCTGCAGCATGTATGTTTCCTTGCCTGAAGTATCATTAAGATCTCTGTATTTTATAATGTCTCTATCATACAGAATATCATAGAGGTGTTTCAGAAAGACAGAAAAAAAAATACAGTTAGGACATACTGAAATGAAAGCCTTTGTAGACCTTGTGAGTCTTTTTTTCAAACTACTTTGACTGGATATATATAAGAAAAGTTAAAGTTGGAAGCATGGTCTGGACAATAAATTCAACTGACCAATTAATCTATTTCAAAATACTCTCGCAGAGGAAGACTTGAGTATTGCAAAATATTCATTGGCCCAGGCAAATGTAAGCTACAATTTCTCTCTTAGCCACTAGCAAACAACCATCAATTTTTTTCCAGCTTGTTTTAAAACAGATCACAAGTGTACTCAAGATTAGAAAATATTGCAGTATCTTTTTGTTTAAATTGGTGTTATTAGTCACAGAACTGCATTTAAGAACAATTCAGCATTGTTATTATGGTAGAGATCGTGACATTTCCCAGCAAAATATGTCTGCAATGAGTTGTAAACTCCAATTCGGTCCCACACTTTTTGCAATAATTCCTATCGAGAGTACACAATTTTTGCCATAGTATTTTAAGTGTCTTTTGCAAAATCCAACTCCTGGCACAACATGGGAAAAGGTGGTTCTTTCTTCCTGTTTGTAGCACAGAAAGCCCCAAGGAGATCCTTGCAGATAATTTCATTTTCCTGAAAGCATTTATGCATTTAACATCTATGAGATTCCCCATTTCACTTTCAAAGGGGGAGTGATCCTACATGCTAAACTAAATTTTGGGTCAAATCAACTAAACAAATTCTTCTGTTAACAAGCAACACAGAAATCTCATGACCTGAAATCGCAGGCCTGAATATCAGGATCACGTAACCCACTGTCCAGGCACGATGGTGAAAAGTTGAGGGAGACCAGAAAGGCTACAAGGGTAGTGTAGCAAACAGCCAAAATGAGAGATTGCTATTTCCCCAGTAACAAGCAAGCACAGGTCACACTGGAACACAAGGAGATCAAATTTTCAGACATCATTAGAAATTGTCATATATCAAGCAGCTCATAAGATCAGAGCTCAGTAGAGCTCAGATCTTAAGTGCTTCTTCACTTGATTCTGAACAGTGCAAAAGATTTTTTTTTTTTTTTTTCGCTGAAGTCACTTTCAAAGAGCTACAGTAACCATAATGTGCTTGTGTTCAACCTCCTCATACAAGCAATAATAAAAAAAAATATTACTGCAGTAGCATGGATTTTTGGAAAGGACAAACTTTATATAATGTAGAAGCTTACTTGAAAGAAATTAAAAGCAGCAAAGGGTAAGTCGTGTGCAGGAGGTACAGAGACTACTTAAGGCAGCATAGAGGAAACTGAACAAATACATATTGCCTATCAAAAAAAGACTTGAGAAAGACCATACACGTACACACACACTCCACAGCAGGAAGCTATTAGAAAACATCCTTTTTTAAAAAAAACAGAAGTTGCATCCAAATAAGAAAACAAGAAAAACAAGGAAAAAAGGGGTTTGTTTAAATTTTTTTTTGCTTTTTCATTCATCACAGCAGGCCTTTGGAAAGTTCCTGTGTCAGAAGCCATCTACATGAAGAATACTTTGGAGAGAATCTGTCTCAAATTGAAGTAGCAGTAAAAAAAAGTTATACAATTTAACAAAATGAACAAGAAGTAGTTTCTAGGGCAAGATAACATCCAATCAAGAATCCTAAGAGCGCTCAAGGATTAAATAGTTGCAGCATTTACCATAGTGTAACCTCCCGATTAAAATTCCCTTGTTATCAGGGAACTGGAAAATAACAAATGCAAAGCTATTTATAAAAAAAGATGTTACAGGAACCAGAGGACTACAGACTAATTATTCTGAAATTTGTACTAAGCAAATTTTAATTTTGCTATAGTAATAATAAATTACACTGAAAAGTAGTAATGGAAATAGAGGATAGAAATAAATATAGTTAGGAGATATAAACACAGGATTTTTAAAAAGATGTTGCCTCAGTTGAAGTTGAAGAACAAGCAAGTGAGGAAGAGGTGGTTGATGCAGAACATCTCACCACAGGCACTATGAACAGTAAAAGTTCATATAAGCTCAAAAAACAAGTGGACAAATTATAGCAGTAAAACCCTGGCAAGCCTAGCCCTTAAGTTTTTGGAAGTTGGAACAGTATTTGGGGGGAATATCACTTTACTGACACATTCTTCAGCTCTTCCCTATACAGCCTTTACTGATTACAGTAGGAATCAGAACCCAAGGCATGATGAATGCTTAATCTTACATGGTAAAGTAACTACTGTGAGTTTGTATGCTAATCACTAGCTGGACTTCGATGTTTAAGAGAAATTCTCTTCAAGTTGTCTTCTTCCTAATCAATGAAGATCCATTAAAATAAATATTCTTTGTAACACCTAGGTTGGATATCGCCTTTGATTAAAATTAGTCTTCAATATCAACTATGGTCCTGTCTGGAATGAATACATCTAAGCCTCTTCCTGACGCAAGAGTAAATAAAAATTTCATTTTGAGCTTACTGAATTGCTTTTATAATGACCTCTTTTAATGGCCTGATAAGTCAAGTGTGCTTATGCAATGTCAGACAGGATATGTAAGTTTAGAGTAAGAATTTACTCAACTCATTATCAATTTTTCTAATTATATTAGAAAGGCAAGAAACTGAAATTAATGAATTTGCTAGTTTTCTTTCTTTCATTTCTCAATTGTCTTGCTACATTTCTATTTTTTAAATATATATTTTTTTTCTGACTGTTCCAATTACAAAGAAATAGCACAAAGTTGTCCTAATGTGATTGCCTGTATATAAGATCAACTCTGAGAGTTTTTTGAAATAAGAAATACTTTCATAAGATCAGCTTATCAGGGGCAAAAAGTTCAGTTGTGAAAGCAAGGATCAAAGACATCACACGTCATCTTTGAACTCCTAGATGTCAGTTGTCACTGAACTTTTTTGCTCTCAGTCAGCACTGCAGTCTGTACCTGTGATAGTCACTGTTACTCTACACATCAGAACTGTTGACTTCTGAGAAGGTAAACTGTGAGGTTGCTGGTTTTATCAAAAAATGGTCAGTTACACAGTCTTGAAACAAAATAGTCCATGTGAAAAATTCACAGAATATATCTTAGTATACAAACTTCAGTGTTCTTTTTAGTTTAATCCTCTACTTTTTTCTTCTAGCAAATAGCTGCCATGTGGTCACATAGCCCAATGGAAATTTGAATTTCTGCTCCAATTTCAGAAGATTTCGCTGTGTAAGGGCTACAGGTTGGCTTTTAGTAGCTGTGTTTAAGATACCTCAGATAATATTTTGCATTTAAAATTTGTTGCTGTTCAAGCAATAGCTGATATGCTTCTGTAATAAAACAAGTGAACAAACTGTTCAAGAAATTTTCCTACCACTTTCATATTTAGACATAAACAGATACACATCCATAATTGCTTGTTCAGTCTACAGGTTTGGGGGAAGGGGAGGTGGGGTATATTTACACAGATTCCTGAATACGTTGATGGAACTTTTGTGAGCCTGAGAATACATAATGAGAATGAGAGATTGTGCTAGGTGTACCTACCAGAATTCTTGTATTGTTCCAGAGTCTTTAAAAAAACCACAAAAATAAACAAACAAACAAACCCACAAAAAAAACCCGAAACACAAGCAAACTTCATTCTGAACTGTATTACTCAGTCTTGATTTCATTAAAAGATCTATAAGTGAACACAACATATGTCAGGAGATATATCTTTCTTATAGATGTTTTTAAGAATGTGGTTTTGGCATATGAATTGGCACAACAACGCAGAAACATCTTCAGTGCATTTTCTAAATGTCATTGTAACATAGAATATAATTGTGTATTCAGAAGATTTGGAATTTTTATCATTTCTTACAATTCACTCTTTATAGAATTTCTACCTATAAACATCAAGAGCAGCTTTGTTTTTAGCTGACCAAAAATTCAAAATTATTTATAGTCAACTCCAGAAAGATAGCCTGTGGCTAAAATTAAGTTATTTAACTTCAAAATATGAAATTATTGAAACCTTATCTCTGATTCACAGCAGAAACTATAAAGTTACCTAGTATCTGCTATCTGGCTTAGTTTTTTTTCAACTGTCTTTTTAGAGCATAAGTCAGAATACCATGATGTACTCCATTTACATGGAAAATAGTTACCATCACATTTAAAGTTACTACAGTCTTTTTGTGTACCACTTGCAAGCAGTAATGCTTTTTTCTAGATTTTAAATTAACCTAAGTTAACATTCTTGCAATAAGTAATATTCCAGAGAAAAATCATACATTTGCAAGATAAAAGCAAAATTTGCACAGAACTCTGATGTGTACCTAAAATAAGTCCTCATCCCTCCTCTTACAGAAGTACCTCAAACCTAGTCATGAACAAATACGTCATTGTAGATAATCATGCTCAAGACAGAGTACCTACCATACCAAAACTGCAGAGACAGTAAAATTGTTGAATAATACCAGGTCATCAGCATCCACACATATGGCACGTCAGCTACTACTGGTCATTCATACTGGTGTTAGAAACATAATCAGGAAGCATACGCTGTAGGTTGTGTTGTGTTGGTGGTTTTTGGGTTGGTTTGGGGTTTTTTTTGGTTTTGTTTTTTTTTGTGGTTGTTTTTGTTTGTGTTTTTTTTTAAACACAGCTCAGTGGCTCCCTCAGAACAGGCTTTGGCTCCCAGGGCATCCCTTCCCCCATGCTCTCTATGCTACCCCATTAGAGTTCCCATCATAAGAAAATGTTGAGGGCAAAAGCTCACTTGGAATACGTTTATCCTACACCTTGATACAGCATGATTCACATAACACTTCTGCTAATGTGTTCTTTTTAATCTTTCTACACAAAATTAAGGGACTTTGAACAAAATTCTGCTTTTCACACTGAGGTGAAACCACTGTAACAAGTAGGATAAAAGTTAAGAGAAATATTAAGTTTGAAGCGGGAACAAGGTGAAAACTCAGGGGGCAGGGTGGATCCAGTTTTTTGAAAGGCAATTATCCAGTTGCTTCTACCTGCCTTGAAAAAAGTGGACGTTTAAAATGAAGTACAAAGACAAAAATCAATAAACAGAAGTAGTGTTTCTTTTGATACTCACCTTCTCCATCACTAGGTCGATCATGTTGATGTTTGAATTGTACAGTATCTTCCCATGTAATAAAGGTTTCAGAAAAGTCCATAGCAAAGCCCCATTAGAAGACTGCAAAATCTCCTGATAAAGCTTCAAGCAAAATGGAGCTGCAAAAACAAAGACAGACTCACATTTAAGAGAGAAAACACAGGTGAGGTTGAATTTTTTTTTTTTTTTTTTAATTCAAAGAAAAGCTTGAGCCTTAATTTAGGATCTGCCACAACACCATGCCAAATACCATCCAACTGCCACTAAGCAATCACTACAGGTCCCTGAACAGAAATTGTTTAACCACAGTCTATGGTAGTGTTGAGGATGCAGAACTCTAAACGTCAGACAAGAAAAAAAGAATCAGAATCCAAAGTCCTTCTCACATTTCTGAAGAGGAGCCTGTGAAGCTCATCTATCCTAAAAGTTACATTAGTGTGGTTTAGAGTGGAAGGACACATGCAAAACCTCTGCCCAAAAAATGAATGCTGAGGGATGGTCACCTAAAAAGAAAAAAAAAAAAAAAGACTCACTCTACATTACTGGTTGTTCTGTAGCTTTCTATTCCTACTTAAGAAAGAAGTAGGAATATACAAATTTCTACACAACTACAGACTTTTTTATTTATATAATTTCATGAGAACCTACCAAAAATACAGAAAAAAAATTTGGGATGACAGTTAATGTCTTGATCTGAAAAAACTAATCAATTCACTTTTCCATTCCTTAACCAAAAAACATGTTCCTACATCAGATGGGGCTATTAGTGCGTTAGGGTGTATGCCCTTCAGAACTAAGATCCAAGGCATATCTTCCAAGATATCCCACTGCATTTGCACTCAAGTAAAGGCAATGACTTTCCTGTGAGAGATATTTAGATTTTTATGCCCAGCTCATGTGTTTGGCAATTTTTTTGTTATTTATTATGAGTGGATTTAGAAACATCCCATTTCCAGTGCTGTGAGGAAAAATTAAAGTTATTAACTCCTCAAGGAAGACAAATTATTGTTCATAACAGAAAAGTAGGCCAAAACCATTTAAACTCCTGCCGAAAGTTAAAGAAACAATTGTCAGAAATGTATCATTAAGAACACCCAATTCTTTGTGTAATTTTTTAGTTTCTTCAGGGAAACAGTCACTACTAATCACAATCATTGCTAAATGACACTAAAGAACTAAGATGCTCCAAACTGGCCAGTCAGAAACATCAGCATGCTAAAGATACAGAAGACTTGCTAATCTGAGTTTGCTTTGATTTTCGGAAAGTCATTGGCAAGTGTCTAGTACTCAAAATACATATAAGTTGATCACTGTGAAAGAGTATAAATCAAATTTCTGTGGTCTTATATAATTTTTTAAATTTCATTTTCCATTGCCTCATTTACCAATTTGTAAAATATGGGAAACAGTATTAATTCACGGACAGGAATGCAAGAACGAACCGATGCTCTAAAGATATTTCAAGGTACTAAGGTAAAACATCTTACAACACTCCAGAGTTGTGACAATAATTAAAAACAAAACAAAAAAAAAATCAAGAAATAAATAGTGCTTCTGGCCTAAACAGCTTTGAAAGAGATTAAGTCCCAAACAATCTCTCTAATCAGCCATCCTAACACCAGTTCTTCAAACAGGAAAGAAAAGCAGAGCTGCGTGCTTACTGCTACCCCACACACAAGTGAAGAAGTCTAGGGCAGAGCTCTGGCTCCCTCCCCACGGTCCCAGCCAAGCCAGAGTCAGTTTCTGGCTGTAGAAACTGATAGAAGATAGAACCACGATTCGCAGTCACAGATCCTTCCCTAGTGACACTCTGTCACTGTAGTCTTCTCTTGCACAGGGCCACTGAGGCACTAACAAGGTTATTAACAATATTAAAATTAATCAGGGTAAGTCAAATGTATATTGAGGAAAGGGAGCAAAAGTAAAATTATATAACAGCTAAGAGATTTTTCTGGGCACTTGATAAAGAGAATATCAACTATTAAAAAACTTATTTTATCCAGAGGGCTTGCATATGTTACTGCACAATAATACCACAACTTTGTACTCACAGAAGAAAGGCATGCAGCAATAAATTCTCAATCTTGTATCTCAAAGATATATTTTTAATACCAAGTGCTTTAAAAATTCTAATAAAGATGTATATAAGACAAGAATATTCTTAGTTATTATTTGCAAAGATAGAAAACAACCAGAATCACTTGTGTCTCATCCACAATTATCTCGTAGCCATAAAACTTTTATTGATCAACCCTTGTGCTCAGGATTACAGTGTCAACTGAGATGTCAGCTAGTATAAAAACATTTCCATTTAAGAAGGAAAAACTCTAAACTCTGAATGCACACATGCAACTTGTGACTGACAGTTTTTCTTACTTGAGTTTTTTATATTTTGCCATATTGTCCTCCAAGAGTCCCATGATTCTGGGCATGTCAATGAACAGGTTTGCATTGCTGAAAAATGAAGATTCTTCTTTACACACTGCCTTGATTACAGACTCCAGGGATCCAACAGCTGAACTTCTGAACTGCCCACCTTGCAAGAACTAGAACAAACAAACAGAAATACAGATGAATCAAAGTTGCTTTTAGTAGCTTCAGGGAGTAGCCCCGGTGTTCTCTCAATATTGGCATCCAAGGAGATTGACAAAATGAGGCTGTTGAAACTGCCTACAAGAGCGAGGACCTGCTGTGCTCTTTTCTGTTCTCCTAATCATCTTTATCATGGGGGGGAGGTAATGCAGTTTTAATTGACAGGATACCCGATGTAAGACAGTAGCATAATGTACTACATTACGTTTTGAAAAATACTGTGTATTGGTTAGGCAGAAAAGGAACTGGACTACAGATTCCTTGCTTATAATGTCAGTTTTCACAAAGTCCACTCTTCTGGTAGATTACTCCTTTGTCACAAAGACAGCAGAAACAACCAAAACCATTTTGCATATGAATGTTTGCAGTGAAAACAGTTGCTAAGAAGGAAAAAAAATATTCAAGTGCAAGTGCCCTAAAAGCCTATTTTTCAAGTACATCTTTTAATTTGTTAGATGTCCTTCTAGTTTTTGCACATCTTGAGTCATATCAGCATTTATTATTGCCATTTACTCATGACTAGCACCCATCTAATGAGGAGAGCAATCTGACTGCTTTTATGGCTTAAGCACCATCATTCACCACAAAACAACCAAAACACCACAAAACAACAAAACCCAGCCTCCTCTGTGCAGCTTCATTTTTCAAATAATATGCTTAGTTGTAACCAATATCTCATGGAAGACTTTACAGGTGCAGAGTTCTAAGAGAGGATACAACTGCAAGGCAACGTACTGCTAGGATGTAGCTGAAGGATGCATTGGCCCATCTGATACTCATTACTGTTGCAGATGCTTGTCAAGAAAAACATAACTAGGCTATTGGATATCGTTTGAAGACTCCACAACTGACAAATAAAAAAAAGACTGCGATATGTCAACCACACACATTTGATAGTGGAATAAGTTAGCATTTTATCATTGGAAAATTTTTTAAACAGAAGAGTCAATTTTCAAAGTAGTACAGCAATTTACATAAAGAATAAATCACAGACAGTTTAGAGACTGTGCTGTTAGAAACAATTTATCCTGATCAATGCATTTACTGAAGTGCCAGGTGCTTCTTTAGTAATCCTGGAGGAATATTAGAGAGTGTTATTTAAAACTCAGCGTTGGCTGCTCCCAAAATCTGACTTTTTGCATAGAGTTTCAGCATACAGCATAGTAAATAAACAATATCCATATTTCATAATACCACCATCTACAGCTCTTGAATGAATCTGTTGGCATGGACTTTACTGGGGACATAAACTTTATTTATGCACAATGCTGAATAAAAGTGGTTTTGAACCTTATTAGTGACTATTTGCACTAGAAGGATAAATGAGGCTTATTTCAGTCAAAGAGCACAAACTTGCTAATTAATTCTGGTTCAAATCAAAATAACTTGAATTTCAGATAATGAATATTTATGCGGTAAGCTGCCACCAACAGACTGAATCTACTTACTGTCTTTCAACTAAATATCCACTGACTCAGTAAGATATATTTCCTAAAATGTGGCTTTGATAAACTGGGAGAACTATATAGCATGGACGTTCACAAAAAATTATCTTTGATCCAGTTGTTTCAGTTTAAACTAAATGAAGCAGGTCTGTAACGAAGGCTGTTGAATCCAAACAAGCAGCCCCCCTGCAAACAAAGTAATCAGTCAAGCCAGTCGCTCTGACAAACTCATGGAAGAGGGAGGTTGGTACTGAAGATTAAAAAGCTATCTGGAACAGAATTCTCAAATGGGAGCAAAAATCTCATAGCATAGAGACTTAGGCTCCTGACCTAACTGAACAGTTGTATGCTTAAAAAAAAAAGTATTATGAGTAAATCCAAATTAATGTGGAGTAGAAATATCAGGTATTCAACAAAAGAAACCTAAAAGTCAAGCCAGGTTATAGCTTGCACATAAAACTAAAATAAATTCCAAATCATTACACTAAGAGAGAGAAAAATAAAAAGTTAAAAATGCAGTTTTCCTGGAAAACTATAAGGGGGTTAAAGACAATTCAAAATTTGATGAAAACGAAGCACTAAAGGCACAAATGCAGAGAAATATATATTCCTTATTCTGGGCAGAGCCGTAAACAAAATAAAGTCTTCATTGTACTGAAATTGACAGAATCAAGAGAAAAAATGGCAAAATTGCTGATTTGGTTAAATTATTTTTCAAAAGCCTATCAAATTTAGATGGCAATATTTGAATGAAAAGTAGAAAATTCATCTGTACCAAAGAATGAGTGACATAATGCTCCAGGAAACAATGGGTATCTCACTGTGATTCTTATAGGGCAAGATATACAACAAATTTTAAAGTGGAGAGCAGTCAAAGACAAAAAGTATGTGAGGAGTAGAATTTAATGCATTATCAAATTATCATTCTAGACCAATTTAATATATCTATGTGGGAAGGCAAGTGCTTTTTCCTGAAAAAGACTTATGCTATCTTTAAACTAGGTGAACTCTAACAACCAATTAATATTCTTGTCCTAGAAACTATTAATCAGCATTAATCCAATAACTATGTGGTAGGTAAAAAATGGCATTATGAAGATATTGCAGGGACCCTGATAAAGGAAAGAAAACACTGGATCATAGAGAACTTACTAGTGTTATTCCTGTGAGACTGATCTTAGGTCCACTGTGATAAGTTCTTTAGCCCTGGAAGAAGCAAATTACTGAAATTTGCCTATAATTTAATACCAGAAGGTATTGCAGGAGAAAAGAAGATCAGAATGCAATATGGTAAGAAACAAATTATCTAATTTAAGGTAAATTGAATATAAAGATAACCACTACAAAACATTATTTATCAATTGAAATCATGAGATGCTGTTATAAAACGGAGCTCATCCAGGTATATCACTGATCCTTGATCAAGTAAGAGACAAAAATGTATGCAGCTTATGAAAAAGGTGAATGCAAGATTAAGAAAGTCATTTTAGTTAGTATAGACATGAATGAGTGGAACTACAAGACTCATCAGCCATAATTCCCCTCAGAGACTGTACACATTTCTTGTCGCCAACATTCAAGATTAGTCTTAACACAGTATGCGAAGATGACACTAGAATGTCAGAGACAACTGAGAGCCTGTTATAAAAGAAAAAAACTGAAACAAATAAATACTAAAATAAATCTATTTAAACTATCAAAACAGAGAAGGACTATGACTGTCCTTACGCAAACACATCAGCAACTCGGAGAAGTTACAAAAGCTACAGGACGTTTTTGATACAAGAGTAAACATACTAGCTATGGATAAACTTAAGTCAGAATTTTATACATTTATAACACCAAAAAGCTTTTCAGTAATGATAGTTTCAACAGAACTTGTTTGAGGTAGTGGAGGGATTACAGAATGAGGCCACCGTTCACAACTGAGAGCATTCAGTAACTCAGCAAGTCCCCTCTAGTTTATCTATTCATGAGTGACAAACATATAAAAAATTAGCTATGGAAATATAAGTGAATAATTTCAAGCAGCAAACAAACAAGCAAAAATTATGATCAAAATCAGCAGTGTTTTTCCTCAGGGAGTTATCCTTTCACTCAATGTTGTTAACAGTAGAATGTGGCTCTGTATTCCAGTTACTACTGACTGGCAGATACTGAGTTTTTACGTCATCTTTTATTACACAATACGTAGCATACTAATTCAACTCCACATTTTACAGACATTTTAAAGGTATTTCTTGCTTTTCATTTTGTCTTTCACACAAAAATCTACATGCATAATTGACAATTACTTTATTACCTCTTTCATTATAGAAGTAATTTTTTTTAAATCAACCTCAAAATAACTTTTTCAAGTAGAAGTTAACAAAAGAGACAATCTGTCTTACTCTATGTTGAAGGTCCATATATTTTTACTTTAAAAAGCTTTACATACTTTATTTGGCAATCTTCCTAGGTCACTGAACTACTTTGCTGTTAGTCACAATGAAAATAAAAATCCAGAAGAATTAATTCTTTTGCAAAGAGAAAAAAAATATACAAGGAGGAAAGCATAATAGGAAATTTTTACTAGTTTACAAAATGGTAAGAAGTTACAAAGACAGAAGAGTCCTTCAAAACATCAAACATCTAATCCATTAACAAAAGAAATAGACACTGAATTTTTTAAACCTCACAAATTATTAGGTGACAAAAACAAACAGCAATTTCTCAAGAAAAAAGGAATTAACAAAAACTGAGATAGTAAACATTGTGTCAGAAAAAGCGACCAAAAAAAGGTAAGATGTAAAAAGGAACAAAAATTCTAAGGTTAAATTTATATTACAGGATAATATGGGCTGCCATGGAGCAAAGATTAAATCTGTGACCAGATAGCCCTCTGCTGTTCGATTTGCTCCTTTGCAAACTTTTTCTAAACGGGGCCTTTTGAGAGGTTCTTCTATCAAATAAGCTACTTTGGGATTTCACTCCCAAAAGAAAAAAAAAAAAAAGTGCTTTATTTGTTCAATGGAAAGTCTGACACAAACAGAACCAGTTTAAGGAAAGCAGAAAAGATGTAAGCATCTGATGAATGCCATCTTTCATTGTGGCAGCCAAAGAGCTACCCCAAAGAAGATAGGCTCAAAACCGAAACCAATAGGCACAGAACAGCATTCTACAACATGTCTCTTTTTCACACAGACTAGAAGATCTTGAGAAAGATTCATATCACGAGGGAAAACAGTATTTAAGGCAGTGTTTACTCTGTACTGTAGTCACAAACCAGTTCTCACTGTTTACCACTGACGGATCTTTTAGAGGTTTGCAATTTTAGAACCAGATTCGATCCTAAACTTTCCACACAGAACAGCAAATCCAGAAGGTAATGTCATAGGTGTCAGCAGGTCTTCCTACGGAACTGGACCCTGCTTAGAAACAGAAATCTTTTTTTCCAATTTATTTAATACTAGATCCGCCACTGTCCTAGTTGTATAGATGCGCACACAGCAACTGCCCCTAAAGGCAGGGACAAAAGAAATACCCTCATTCACACTTCATGCCACTTTTTTAAAATGTCAAGCAGAATTATCACACAAAAACATTGAGTGACTCAAACAGAAACCCATGGCAGATACAGGAACTGCACATCCTATCTTGAAATCTTATCCTTTAAAAAAGCAAAGCTATTTCTTATAAACAAGGTAATAGTCTGCTCATAAAAAAAAAAATACAGCATTAGCAGAAAAGGCATGGCTAGCTCCAAATCACAGATAATATATGCTGCTATTAACCAGCAGCCTAACACCATATTAACTTAGGCTATGATCTCATAAGTTAACAAAAAAAAAGATGACAGAAACAACACATCAATAGTCTGAAAATTACCAGAGTGCTTCAAAGAGACCAAGTGAATCTTCCTAGAGTCTATGGACTCTCTTCACTCCAAGTTCCCAACTTTCTAGGACACAATTTCTGTTAGTGTTCCTCCTTACTGAGCACACATCCTTAACAAAGTACCTCATGGTGGGAATTAAGTTTGCATATTGAAATCATACACGTACCTGCTGCAATGCAGAGATGTCAAGCACACCAATATTTTGAATTCCTTGGAGGAACACTGGAAGGTTTTCCATTACATGGTGGGCTTTATTGAGAAGAGAGCTGATATTAGAAACCACATCCAGTAGGATGTTTAGTACATTGCCTGTCTCAGATGGTATTTTAATCTTGGAACAGAAGGGAAAAAAAAAAAAAAAAAATCACAACAATAAATTCCAATTACAATGAGTTTCAATCAAATACTCAAAATTATTCAGTCTTTTTCTAAAACTGATTATAAACATGGTTTGCAGAAACATTGTAACAGAATTCCTTTTATTATAACTCCTCAGTTACTCTCAAATTCAGTTGAAGAAAAATCCACTGGTAGTGTCAGAACTGCTCTGTGACAAATCAGGAATTAAAATCCAGAGAACACTTTTATACCTACCAAGCCGAACAGAGCTCTCCTACCCAAGATGCTAAAGGAATCTGCAACATCCTGCTCCCTTAGAATTCAGTGTAAATGAGAACTTTTCCTTCAACAGGTTCAAGATGCTCAATGCAACAGTTTAATATTTTAAAAATAATTCCTAAGTTAAATTAAATCTAGCAGCCACTTTAGTTGCTTTAGGAATCATATTAGACAACAAATTTTCTTGTCACATTGTTCCTCCCTTTGCATTTTCTATACGCACTGCCTTTCACCTAAAATAACTGCATGCATTCCATTCCCTACTTGACTAAAGTTCAATTGGCTGTTTGCTGTTTCCACCATGCAAGTTTTGGCATTATGAATCTTCTGTTTCCTTTGCTTTTATCAGTTATTTAGATTACATGGTAATAGAAACTGATTCATTGTTCCCTGCCTATGCATGATAATAAAAACAATATAATCTCATTATGTACATTCAGCTGCTTCCTCTGATTATCTTTCTTTTATCCACCTTTATTTCACTTCCTACTACAATAATGTCTGTTCTTAATTTTCTTCTCAGTCTTCACCTGCTTTTACACGTTAAAAAAAAATAAACTGTACAAATAAATCTTATTCAGTTAAAAATTGGCAAAAATTTCACAATAATTTAGGATGAGCTGACAATATTTTATATTCTTTGCTAGGAATTCATTACACTTCAGTAGGTTTCAGTAGAAGAGCCTATCAGAATAAGCACTGGGTTGCCCCCCACCCCCCACCCCAGGTTGGTAGATAATTCAGAAAGTAGAAATCTTTTCTTTTCCCTCTGGTGCCTTAACCTATTCTGGGAAATTGTCTTGTTATTAAAAGTGTGTGGCCAACCTGTTTAACTGTTCACGTAGCATCCAGAATATAACATGGCATCTACTCCTTTAGAACAAAATATTCTTCCTCCCAATGTTATAAATATTTTTTAACTATTTTTACTTAAAACATTTGATGTTCTATCAATCAATTACCCCAAAAGAACAGAAATAAATGTTCGCTAACTATCAGAAATCCCATCCAATAATTTTGCTCTTACAAGTAAAAATACTATCTCGCTGCAAACCCACACTAGATCCCAGATTATCTACAGCTGTACAGATAATACAGTTTTGCTACAGATTCCTGTGTCCCCATCATTATAGTTTTGGCACTGTATTATTCTTGTCAAAGTCATTTGATTTGGATCATACAAAATACAGGAGGTTTGCCCTTATAGCAAGACACATCCTGAGAGCTGGAAAAGCTCCTTTCTGAAGGAGTCACCTGAATTGCCAACATGATTTCTACAGCAAACAAAATGCATTCCAGTGCTATGAATTTTCCCTAGAAAATAATTTTTTAATTCTTGTAATGTGAGCTCCTATGCTTGTTTTAGTTCCAATGATACCAGATCAGTCTTCCACACTTACAAATTAAGAAGTGACTAATTACATGAACTGCAAACTCTGCTAAAGATTAATAAAACTGTGTCTTCGACCTCCTGTGTTTTCTCTAAACCTTTCACAATTAACTCCTCAGTGATAATTTTCCTTGAGGAAGCAAGAAATGGAATACAGTAGCATCTACCAACCACATTCTTCAACAGTTGTGTTTGCTTTGCAGAGCTAAATGAAGACAAAAAATGCCATATGTCCAGTGTTTGCTTCCACAGAGAAAGAACATCTGAAGAAATAATAGAATTATTAATTTATATACCTGCATCCTTCAGATCACCTTCAAAAGAAAAATATAGGAACTGAATTTTATTTTTTTTCCCCATCTCACCTTGTAAATGATATGACGTAAGTTCAAATTCTGTATAATCAGTACGAACATGGTATACAAGTCCAGTGCTGGTAAAGAACATAATTCCTCCACTACCATGGAAGTTTTACTGTTTTCAGGTAGCTTTAGCAGCAGGTTGAGTACTTCCTCATCACATCTTCCAGTTAAAGCTACCACAAAGGCACTGTAAAAAATCTATCATAATGTATGTGTATTAAAAATTTTTCTCCCTGAAATGCATCATCATCTTTTACAGTCAATAAAGTGAGAATTTGTTTCACAGTAACATGGCAATTTGCAGTCATTAACAGACCTGAAATAATGAACTATACAGCTCTACATCAGATTGGTATGTTCCTACTTTATATCCTATGTACATACAAAGAGATGAACTATATTTCTTATAAAAATTTATTTACTTTTGTGAACACGTCAATCATTCATTCTGTGAACATTCATGCAATAAGCAGGCATATTTACAATGCTGAACATACCCATTCTAGTAGATATACACTTTTGTTGCAGAGACACCTAAAGATCAAAATCTAGATGTCTGAATCACTAAAATAAAAAAATATAGACTTTCATTCTTTCAGAGGACACATAAATTTAACACTGAGGGATGCCTATATGGCACAATGTTTACTCTGACCTAGCTCACATTTCTCAGTTCAACACTCCTTTGAAGTGTTATTATTTTATAGTGGATGAAGGGACAAATGTCTAATCAGACCTTCGGCGAGACTGCAATAAAAAGTCCTTGGATAATGATGGTTTGTTTCTTCCTACAAAAATGGCACATCAAGAGACAAATGCTTGCAGCCCAGATATCTCAGGAGTTCTTAGTTACCTTTTCTCCTGCAATGCCTGAAAGAAATCAAATTGCAGCAAGTCCAGAAAAACTACAAGTTTGGGGCCTGTAGGTGCCAAAGTACAGTACTCAGGGTTCCACTGTACTCCTTAGGACACAACCTGCCTGTACTGCCTCCACTGAATGCATCTGTAGATAGTAATAGTACTCTGTGAGGGAGAGTATCCCCAAGAAAAATCAAATTAGGAACCAAAGTTGGTCAAGATATGCAATTTAACTCTCTAATTCTTAAGAACATTTCAATTTCCAACTTACTAATTTGACTTTTAGATTTTTATTCTGAAACAGAATTTTGCCTTTGTGATTCTAAAGGATTTCCTATATATTTAAATATTCACTTTTTTTTCTGCGTGTACAAGGAACAGAATATGAATAGAAATACAATTCTGCTAGTAGCATAAAAGCATAGTAATTTGAACTTCTTGTTGTGGAGGAAATCTGACTCTGTGATACAATTTTAAATTTATTTCCTCATGCCCCACATGAATATCACCATTTCAGTTCAGTTTTAACCCATTCCATGTTTTATCTGCTAGATGAAGTCCCTCTGAACTTTCCTTGCAGCTTTGTGAGTACCAGAGCTAATCCAAAGTCCTATGTTTAGTAAATGAATGCCTAGAGTCTTCAGGTTACAGGTTTTGAGCAGTTTCACAACATTTAATCACATGGCAATGAGCATGGCCACAGCATAATATTGTGGTAGAAACTAAGAGTAAGTGCAATAAGCACAACAACTCGCAGGCTCACTCTTACCATTCCAGAGGCAAGCACAGTAGTAGTACACAATCACAGAAATATAGTACTGCAATGGGCCTGCAGCTATCAGTAGGGTTATCAGATGGTGGCTATATATACCATAAACATAACAGGCATGCCTAAATTATAGCTTAAAGAAAGTACACGTGCATCTTGCATAATCAGTATGAAACATAAGCTTTAATGCTCCAGTTGGACTGAGGGAGAATTTAAGCACTTAAGCAAACAAAAAATTCTGTATAGATATGCGAATGTAAGCTGTGTACATATATCTAAACTCTACACAGGATTTTGGCAAAAAATAAGGATAGAAAGTAATTTGAAAATTCAGTCAGTTAGCATTATTATTCCAAAAGATCAAAGGTGTACCAAATCCCATTTAACTGAATCGCTTCCAGATGACTGCTCTCATTACCATTTACTGGTATCAAAATAACAAGATAGCAATAAAGGCAGTCACACTACCAAAGAAGCAGAAGAACAAATCATCTCTAAGTAGTTATGATGGTTTGAACTGCCTTTTTAATAGCCACACTTTTCAGGAACAAAACTTGCAACTGTTTCTGCAGTGGAGCATCAGTGACACCCAGTGGCTCCTTGATTGACCCAGTTAGTTTATACCAAATGTACCCCCAACTCTTTTCAGTCATACAAATATTAGTGGAAGAGAGAATCTGTAAGTTAGGCAGCATTTTTCATGATTTCTACTAATCACTGGGATCACAGGAAACAGCAGCAATGATAACACACATAGTCCTTCACTCAGAAAATTTACACAATCCACTCTTTAGACAATACTCAAGAGACAACAGGTAAGTGAGGAGGTAAGGCAACATACTGGTAAGATAATGCAGGAACAGTGAGGAGCACACAAAGGAATTAAAAAAATTAAAAACCAAAACAAAACAAAACAAAAAAAACCCACCAGACAACTCTGTACTCCAAGGATCAGAAGTGGGAAGATACAAAATGATTTCTCCAGGAAGCCTCACCTTTTCTAGAGTAGCAAGATAGCAAAGCTCAAATTCTGTATCAGCACAAGGGGGTAAAACACTGCTGAAAGTAATGAAGCAGTGCCATTTAGACCAGAAGACTAGTGCTACTATAAATTGATCTTTTAATGCTTCACATTATTTTGAAGTCTTAAACCTCACAAAATATTCCACATAGAAGTGAGAAGGGAAAATATAAGATTCCATGCAAACAAGGTTGGTTGTTTTTTTTCAGTTGGCACATCAGGCTAGAGCTTGACTCATTAATTTAACACCTCTTTTTGATCTTTTACCTTTGAATGAGAGATATTGGCTTCCAAGATGGTGCTGATAGTTTCTTCAGAAATGTTGACAGAAGCAGCAATGTCCAGCCTCAACTGAGTAAGATTCTGCACACACTCTTTGACTGTCACATCTGACAGAGAAGAAAATTAATGCCAACAGTACCAATCTGCTTAACTAAATTGCCCACAGACTGTATCTTTTTCATTACAGTTATTCTGAGGAGTGATAAAGGACACAAAACCTTCATATCATGTAATTCACTTCTGCTTCAAATGTAAAGGTCACTCTCCTGGCAGACTGAAGGGCTTGTGCATCTGTTTGCATTATCCTATAAGAACACAGGTTATCTCACATCCCGGTATTATGAGAACATCTAAAATTAGTGAAGCAGCCTTTAGTCCTTTAAGATTTTCTTCTTCCACTAACTTAAGTTGTCTCTTCTTTCTAATGAATACCTGCATCTTATCGGACTGGCTCTGACAGGGTAGACTATGCTGTCCTGTACCAACTCAAACACATGTAGGTGCACATGTGTGCAAAGAAAATATATTGCATTAAGTCAGTAGTCTCCATAAGCAGTATCCCTTTAAAGTGTGAAGAATAATCAAAGAGCTATTGTCCTACAAAATTACACAGCAACGACTTGTTAAAAAGTGAAGACTGGAACCCACCATTCAAAAGATTAAAATCGCTGAGAAAAGCTGCCGCTGGATTATCTGACAACTGTAGCTCCAAATTTTCAGCCACCCTGAAATGATAGCCTTAGTTTCACAAGTTATTAGAACTAAGTCATTGACATTACTATGTATAAAGAGTAACGTGAATAGTGAAATAGCCACCAAATGAGGCAAAAGGGTCACATTATGCTCTATGTGCACACACTGTGCATGCAGTAAGTGACTCTGCAGACCTTCTCATGCTGTATTTACATTGTGCAGGGATCATCATATTTCATGCCTAAATAACATTGCAAATGTAGAGAACTTCCGATGTGGGCTAAGTGCTCTAGCAAACAGTAGCTTCTGAAGAAGCACAGGTCTCGCAATGTCTCACTTCCACATTTCTTACTGAACACGCATTTTTAAAACCTAGAGATACAAAGCACTGCAGTTCAGGATAAATAAAAGTCTATCTAATTGTAATTTAAGTAATAAAGAGTATACACACATCACATATTATTTACCATTGAAAAACTGGATGTGAGTCTATGGTCCATAAGAGCAGCATTTAAGCTCAAGTTCCTCTGTATTATTACTACTATAATTCACAGACACCATTCAAGCCCATCATGAAAATAATCCAACAGTCAAACCAGTATAGCAACAATTATAATAAGGATCACTTCTAATTGACAGCAAGTTTGAAATGCTCTGCAGTAGCAGTTTTATACATTTATTTAAAATCTACTATTTTTATTCAAGGGAATAGCAAATATCTGAAATTATCTGGAGTTCAAGCCTGTCAGTTTACAAGCACTATCCTGTGTTTCTGACTGTTTGAACTGCTGAACTGATCTGAATGTTTAATGTTTTGCAAAAGATATCCAAGCGGCTGAGAGGACAAGGCTTTAAACAAAAAATTAAGATATCAACATTTTGACCTAACTGACATCATGGATAATTGAAAATTTTCTTAGTTGTGATCCAAAGCATCCTACTGGTGGAGCAGCAAGATCTGCTGCATGTGCTTAGCAAAAGTCTAACAGCTTTTAGAAATATCCAAAATTTTGCTAAATTATTTAAATAATTTGTGCATTGTATGTGCTCAATTTTCAGTTAAATGAACAAAGCTTAAAAAGACTTTGATAAACAGTATTTCTCCTGTAATTACATAATTTAGAACACAGAGATATGCACAAAATAATATCTCTAACAAGGACTGTTTGGGGTATCAAGATGTAAAAGGCTTCACATTTGCAGTCGTCTCTGTACGTTCCCCAACATTAGTTGACATTCACAGCTGCCATTGCTGGTATTCTGCAAGGTTCTTGGGAAGGTCTCCAAAATATTGGAAAGTTTTCGGTTTATATAGGCCATATTCTCACAATCCCCCTTGTTGAAAGCAGGCCACATTCTTTCAATATCCTGCAAAATATAGCGATCACATGGTTAGCAAATTCATGAGATTATGTTTTTGCTTGAAGTAGCAGGTCTTGGCATATTTTCAAGTGAGAATATGGCTAAGGTAATACTCTTTTATTCATTGTATTTGTAATTGAAACTGGGCAAGAGGTTTTCAAGAACGAAGGGATTTTCAAAGATTTGAGTTTTGGAAACAACCAAAAATACTTGCGAATTTGACCTAGTCTATCAAGGAGATTCATCCATTAACAGAAATGCCAACATTTTCATTCGAAATTTAATTTCAAGATGAAATGAGCTTCTTTCTTTTTTATTTTAGGCTGATCATTTTTATCTTTTTCCCAAAAACTGTTCTAAACAACATCAGTTTCCATTCAGCAAATCAAAATATCTGGATACCCATAGCCAAAGTTTTTCTTGCATTATGCTTTGTGTAGCATTCACTTTTATCTTTTTTCCTGAATATTCACATTTCTGATTTTGCACGTTTGTTTTAATATTTACAGAAGTAGGTCATAGAATGGTGGTGACTACAGAAATGCACTTGTTCCACAGAAGTCTGTTTTGAGGTAGGAGTGATACCTCTGATATCCGTTTACCTTAAAACATTGCTGTTCATATCAGCAAAATGTCCAGGCAGAGAAACTAGCAGAGCTATATCATAAAGAGGAGGCAAATTCTATACTAAAGGCATGACTTCAGTACTTTGTCTGTGTGTGCACATGTGTGTGCACTATCCAAAGGCCTGCTTCCAACTCTGGATGAGTCTCTAGATGTCAAATGTTACTCTCTCCTGCTGGTAATTTCATGCACTGTTAAAGAAAAACAGACCGACTCCAACTGGTAATCCCAATTGCTATTTTAGCTTGAATAACTCTGGTCAAGAAGTTTATTTGTATCTAGCTTGATTTCACAGTTGTTCCTGTGAAGATTTAAAAGTATGAATGTATTCCAATTCATAAAATTAGCAGTATCACAAAATTTAAAGGAATTTAAAATAGACTGCTGTTTGGTATTGGAATGGCAATCTAGTTACAGGAATTCTAGTATTTCTAGTTATATTTACAGCTTTCAAAGCTCACCAGTGTTTACTTAAAGAATTCTTTTGGGTATCATTATCAAAAGCATCAGAGCTATACCCATACAAACCTCGGGTTTATATAGCCACTGTGTGGACTCATCATTCAGACAGTTGGAAAAAAAGAAAAAAAAAAAGAAGTTTCCATTAGCTGTAAAGAACAATTGTAGGTGTGGAAACTACTCAAACCTGATAATGACGTTGAACCAAAGTGATTCCTTCAATGACAGAGAGGAGTAAGTGACTCATTAAGCCATCTTTACACTTCGTAACAACACAGAAAAGGTTCCAAATTACAACTGGTTCTTCTGTAACAGAAAACATCCAGGCTTAATCAGTTAAAAAACTAAATAAATTACTGTTAACCAAACAATAAGGGACAGAAAAGTTTTTAAAAGCAAAGAAAGTCTGATATGTTAAGGTACAGAGAAATATTCCTGGCTAAATTTATCATTGCAGAGGGCAAGAAGGGCTAGCTTGATTCAATTTCCATTACTCTTCTCCATTACACATTCCTGATTAATAATAAGAACAGCACTACCTGCTACAGAACCAAAGAAGAAAACTTAATTTTTGCTCGTTGTGACCATGAAGCATAACTCTGAGAAGCTGTGTATATTAACCACATCTACCTCCTCCTCAGGTAGGCTTCCCCATTCTATTTCCCTGTGTAGACATCAGGATGTTACTAACCCTCCAGCAAGTAGTAACTTTCAAACCCTACCTCCAAGGGGAGGGAAACAGCATTACATAGACATTTTGCGTATCTAGGGATAAAGAATCCATATAGGGGATATTTACCACCTGATCATCCACAGAGGAAGTTTCTACCCAAGCCTGCAGCCCCCATGTCCCTGGAAAAAAAACCTCCATTCCCCTGCCTGTAGTGGGTTTGTACATGGGATAGTAGGGAAGGAGTTTGGCTTGACAGTTGAATTCTGGTTTATGGAAGGATCAAGTTCATTCCACCCCCCACCCCCCCCGATGTTTTTTTCCTTATGTTTGGTTCATAAGTCAAGAAGGAAGAATCATAAACATTCACCACTGCTTCTAAAACAAGCAAACCTTAATCTTGCTCACAGAAGTAATCCAGTGCAACCCAGTAATGCAAACCAAGTTATGTAGTTTTCATCTTTTCTCATTAGGTTTCGTAATATTTTCTGTATCAAATGAAATATTACGAAACATCCCTATGGCCAGAGTATTGAAATAAGAATGACAAAAATTTAGTTTCTTAATCTCCATTCTCTCAATAAATAGACTGTTCTTCAGAAATGAAAGACAGATCCTAGGTACCTAGCACACATTTTCAGTATCACTTACTCCGAGATCAACACTGCTACTGTTTTACTCTTTGAGAACTACATCAGTCACAGGAGAGTGGAGAAGATAGTCAGAATTGGGTTGTAATCACATCTTATGTTTTGTTTGGAAATGAAGTTGGCATAAGACATTACCGATCTCATCCCTTGCTCTAGAAGGACAGGTTAATGCCTCCTAATTGCTCTCTGCAAAAAATTCTGGACATAGTTGGGTTGAAATATGAAGTTTGAAAAGTAAAGGCTTTGGTTTCACCAAAAAACCCATAATATGAAATCACACCCTTAGGTTGATACAGAGCCTTTCTTAAAGTGCTCATCTTGGGGGCCTATATGCAAGGAATAAAACAAGCCTAGCACATTAAAATTAGAACAATTTGTTGAAGGTGAAGTTATTCAGCTACAGTTAGCCAATCCACCGGCTCAGAAGTGGGAGATGCCACTTCCTTTATATACTTGCCCCAATCTTCCTTTCTGTCAGCTATATGCTGCCTTGTTGCAACTCTGGCTCATTAAAAAAACCTCTGTGACTTGACTTAGTTCACTAGCCTGGCAGAAAAATATCCAGTAAAAAAGGTAAGACAAAACCCAAATGTGTATATAGTCTTCTGCTAGGTTTGTGAGTCACATCAAAAAAGGAAGTGGTCCTGGTGTGTCAGAGTAAGCCCAGAAGAAAGGGAAAGTGCACATAGCTAAAAATGAGAGAAGAGCAGCTTCAAGACCTCCTGCTTCTACTCAGATTTTAAATCAACACGACCACTCTAGAAAGAAATCATCCCTTTATGTGATCTGCATCAAAATTTTTCCTGTGCCTCTGATGGTTTAATTTTCAGGTAACAGTATGCTTGCCTTGTTTAGCATCACCCAAATTAACTTATTTTTAACAAAAGGTTGTTCAGAGTAAAGCCTTAACATTACAGTACTAATATGTACTGTAACACATACAGTCAACTACTGTGAGAACCAACCTGAAAAGATTTTAAGAACATTCAAAATGGTAAACTGCAACTTCTGCAATAGCAGGATGCTAGCAGGGTGTAAATGTTTCTGAAGAATCTTGCAGATTTTAGATGCTCTGTACAAAGATTAATAAGAAAGCATTATTTTCATAACAAGGGTACCACAGAAAGTGACTATATACAGTTGCAATCTTCAAAGGACCATATAAGGATTTCAATATTAACAGTTATTAATTTGTCTGAACTATTTCAAAATCAGAACATAACACTTCCCTGTAAAAAAAAAACCAAAACAAAACGAAACAAAAAAAACCACACAACACAAAACCAAAAAAAAAAAAGCAACAAATAGATTTTCATCAAGGTAGCAAGTCATCAGCTTTCCTAAGACCTTAGGAGTGCTAGAAAGTACCTTCACAAAATAAGCAAAATCATAACAGCTTCAGAAATACTGAGAGCCCACGGCATATACTGACTTGATGGCAGAGTACAACACTCAAAATCTCTGATAATCAGCATTTGGGGAAAATAAACTATTTTTCTAGTATTTCCTTCTGATTTTTCAACAAATTTGGCTAATATCTGGCCCTGCTGACCACTGGTTTCACATATTTGCACAAAATTAATCAAAGGTCTAAATACCACATCAGAGTTATGCATCAACTTCAGTATGCCATTTCTCAGCTGGTCTATGTCAGCAGGATCAGTAGCTCCACCAGCAAGACACCCTGGAGCTGCTTGGAGCAACCATCTTGGGGGATTCATTCAGTCAGTATTACTTAAATGCAGCAACTCCTGTCTAGCAGTACTTTTATTAAATAAATTGTCAGTAAACATTTTCCTGAAGCAGAGTTTCCTCTGCTGCTGAATTACATTTGAACTGAATAATCTGGCAAAAATTCCCTTGGGCTCAAGATTCCTACAGAAACTGTATTTGTTAAACCATAGCCCCAAAAGGGTCATCTTGTTTGCATAAATCATCAGCAAATTTAAGTTGAAGACATTTCAAATACAATATATCGACACTTAGCTATAGAAAGAAAACAAAGGGCAAAACAGTCCCAAGCACTCCTTAATATTTATCTCCATAGCCAAAATGACTGTTGTCCACCAATAACTGTGGGTTCAGTGTTCAAACTGCTAGGATTTCAAAACACTAGTTATCTTCAAATATTTGGTTCTATAATAAATCTGAAGAAACCACCTTGAGTATCAATACATCCATAACCTGGTCCACAAAATATAATGTGATACGAAATATGGCCAGTCTGAACAACATAAGTTGATACAAATTATTGTTTTACTCAAAGGCACAAATCCGAAATGAAACAGTAATTAATTTAATAAAAGTTTTGATTTAACTGTTTACAAACAAAGAAGACTTCTGTTATTGTCAGTACACTGTCAAAATGAGTACATAGAAAACGCTCACCTCATTTCTGCCATTATATCCTTATGTAAATCCTTCAGTAAGAATGTTATTTTGTTCCTGTCATGTTCTGTGGTAGACTGAAATACCATTTGCAAGATCTCTTGCATGTTCTCCAGAGTTCTGTTTTGGGACTGAGTAGAAATTTCTCTATATTGTGTGTTACCAAAAAATGAATCAATGAAGTCAACTATCTGAAGCTCAGTATTGTTTGTATGCAGAGCTTCTTCTATAACAGTAGGATCAGCAATTATATGAAGGAGACTGTTTAGCAAAATTGAATCAGCAGTATGAGTATTATTAATTTTTTCTCTGCTAAGATGACCATCAATGAACAACATATCAGTGTAATCTTCCTTAGACTTATTTTGGAATAGTTCCAGAAAGTCTATAATGTCTTTGACAAGCAGCAGTAGGTCATTCGATGAATTTTCATTAGCCATAAGGAGAATTAGAGCATGCTTTATTTTAGAATAATTTTTATAGTTACAGTCACATAGAAAGATGTTCACAGTCTCTTGTATGTCTTCAAAATTTCTTAACATAGCATCTATAGATGATGTATTAAACTGCTGTACTAAAACATCAAGAGCCATTGAAGAAGACTGTCCAGTGGCTAACCTTAGTAACTGAAACTCTTGGTCTATCACTGCAAGTAAGTGTCTAACATTAAAATTCACCAATAAGTCTTCTATGTTTCTGACTATAGGAAACCAGAAGTTCTCGAAGTTATCAGATATATTACTGCTTCCATTTAAAGCTGATAATATCATAAGCATTGAGTATGTCTGGTTTCCAACAAAAGACAGCGTCATTAAAGGTTGAATTACAGAAAGAAAAGAACAGATAGCTTCTGTATCCAGGAGTCCAGAAACTTCACTGGTCATATTCTTAACATTAGTAAGAACAGTCTTTATAAGTGATGTTCTTGAATGTCCGTTCCAACTTAGACTACCATAAAGATCATCCAGCTGCTCAAGAACACCTTTAGCCATCTCCATTTCTGCCACTGGCATACTGCCCAGTGTTTCTATAATTTGTAAAGCCACTTGTCTCTTCGGTGTGGAGGAACAATTGACTGAGTATGTATTATTCAGCTGCAGCGGCACAGCATAGAGGGATAGCTCATTCCAAAAATCTAGCAGCTCTTTGAGAACTGAGCCATTTACATGATGGAGCTCAGAAAACTTCAAAAGAATATAGTTCCATTCTTTGATCTGATGAAAAAAGCAAGTCAGATTGCGAGTGATATCCATCTGAAAGTCTTCCATAGTGCATGAGGAACTGTCCTCAATGACAACGAGTTTCAGCTCCTTAATGACTTCAATGACTGCATTGTAACTAAGAGTAGAATTGCTTTGCACAAAGTCACAAGGTTTAAAAGTGGGATCACTCTGAGGTGTTGCTGTTGTAAGAGTCCAGCAGAATGCTGCAGAAAAACAAATCGAGACCTCTGCAGGTTCATCAGACATATCTGTCAGTGTCTCCACTAACATTAGAAGACTTTCTACTTGATTAGAGAACTCCTCTTCAGTAAACATTGGCATTTTTGCTTCCTGAGTCAGTATGAAAGCGTATACTTCAGTTAGTGCTTCTGTGATGTTTCCATGAGCTAATCTTTTTGTAAGGTTGATGACATCAAGGAGGAGATGGAATATCTCTTCTACATCATAGAGCTCACCTTGTTCAAAGAGTCGTGTTATTTGCCATAAGCCAGTTAGGTTCCAATTACACGAATTGTTTTCAAATGCATCCCACCAGTCTGCTAACATTCCTAACTCAGAGTTTTCAATATACAAAGAGTTGACATTTTTAAAGAAATTATCTAGGCTTCTCTGGACTTGTTTGAATTGGCTTATCAAGAACTCAACATCCATGTTCCTCATATTTTGTATCAAGACTACCATATGCTTTAGAAACTCTTTATCATCTCTTAATGGAAAGCCAGTAAAACTAGAAGACTTGAAAATTTTAAGTGCCTTCCTTACCAGTTCAATATTCAGAGCTGCTGTTTCTATCAGTTTCTGGAGAAATGTTTTGTGTTCATCCTGCAAGTCTGCGTCAAGTTTACTAATCACAGACTGAAAGAACTCCATCAACACACTGGTATTCTTCTCATGCAAGAAAGGTTCAATCTCGATATCCAAGTGAGAAGAGTTGTTTTCTTGGATTTCAAAAGTTTTATTTCTCAGAAGGGTTTGAATTTCTGCCAAAAGTTCTACTAATGAAAACTGAACATGGTGAAAAGGATTAAGGAACATCCTCGAAGTTCTGTTAAATCCATGGACTGACCGACTAAAATGGGTCTTATTTGATGTATAGTTTGAGTGCCCCACTAAATCATTGACAACCTTTTGTATTTGTCCTCTAGAGTTATTTAAAAGTGTAAAAATAAATTCAAGCACATTAATGTCATCTTTTACATAAAATTCAGGGAAAATATATTTTAAAGTTTTTGCTACAATATTGAAATAAACATTTACACAAATTGCATCAGATCCAGTTAGCGAACATTCAGGGAGTATCAAATTAAAAATCAAATCAACAAAGTCTATCACATTCATTAGCTTAGCATCTGTCTCAATGTTTCCCATAGATTTAAGTAAAAACAAAATATGTTTTGCACTTTCAAGGTGGAAAGGTGATTTGCAATTTTCACTGAGATTACTTAATCCACTTATCCATCTGTTACAATCCTCTGCTTCATCCACTGTACTATAAAAGTTTAGAAAGGAATTAAGATGAGATGAAAAATTTGTTTGCCAATGGCTTATGTCTTTCAGAGTATTGTCCAAAATTAGTTTGGTAATATTCTGGAAAATGTTGATACAAACCATATATTTGTCTTGAGGTACACTTTTAAAGAAAGCAGATGTGTCTTTTATCTCAGTAAGAATAATTCCAAGTTCCTTTTGGGAGAGCTTGAGAATAGTAGAAAGGGAATTTCCAACAGAAAACACACCAGCACCTTTATCTTCTCCCTCAGATCCTCCTGAGATGAAAGTATCAAGCCAAGAATTCAAAAACTCTCCATTAACAACTGTCTGTATAGATTTCTGCAATTCAGTTATCATGACTCCCATTATTTCTAAAACACTTTCTAAACTGTTACCTTTAAGTGAGCTTGTGACATCAATCGCATTGTTAAATACACTTTGGAGATGAGCAAGGAAAGCTTCAAAATCTTTCCAGTCATTTAAACCACTATCTCCTTCAAATATGATTTCCAATAGATTCATTGCTGCTGTTGTAGCTTCAACAATAACCACAGATGTATTATTGCACAGTTCATCACGAGTTGCATTTAAAAGACTTTCAGAGAGATTTGCCAAATCGTTTTTTAGACAGACAAAAAAGGTTGAATTCAAATTTAAGCTTTTGGATGCTTCTTCAAAAATTTTTGTCCAGGTTTGAAGCCATGTAAAAGTGCAGTGCAAAGCAGAAGGCACACTCACCTTATCTCTCAAGTTTGTTATATTAGACAGAACACTGTCCAATGAAAGCAGAAGTAAGTTGTAAACCTCTGCTGAATGATCTACAGAAGTAAAGTTTGATAGATAACAATCAATGTACCCATTGTTTACCAGGCATTCTGGGGAGATATCAAGAAACTGTTCCAAATAACAAAATGCGGATGTTTGGAGCTTTTCATCTACAAAAAAAGTTTTAAGGCTGCTCAGAGTGCTATAGACGACTTGCATCTCTTTTTTTCCATTCCGTGCAAGAGACTGGGCCTGAAACTCTGTGTAGTTGTAAATGATTAGTAACTTTTCACAGAGAGACTTACTGGTGAAGTTCCAGAGAAGATCAAGAGTTTCAGACAGAATATTAAAAACTCGATCTCTACCTTGGAAATCATGCCATATTTGAAAAGACGAAATATCTTTAGAAGTCTCATAAAGAAACATTAACAGAGTGCTATTGCTCTCAATATTTAAGATGAGATCATCGTTCTGATACAGAGAGAAAAGTATTGGAACAAGTGAGGCCACACTAGTACTGTTTAATTTTTTGATGTTTTTGAAGAAATCATGCACAATTTTTCCTAATTCTTGTACTTTATATATAAAAGTTGCATTTGAGAGTAATAAAGAGGAGGCATTACTTACTCCATGAATTGTGCTGAAAGACACATTGACATGATAATCAGTCAGTAATCCAACCTCATACATATTGCTTAGGAAACTTTCACTTAAGTGTTTTAGATGGTTCAAAGCATCAATATTTAACTCTGGCCAATCAGTCAGGATATTTTGGAGCAACAGTATACTTCTATTAAGGATTTTATTTTCTGTAATGTAAAATATAATTCTAGATAAGGTCTGCAATACCTCCTCTTCTTCCACTTGACTCAAATGAGAAAGCCTAGAATCAAATTCATAGAATACAATTTTCAGCATATGCCAAAAAACTTCTGTCATCTCTTTTGTCCAGAATCTCTGGAGAGGCTGGAAATTTTTCTGTAACTCATTACAGAGTTCAGAAACTGCAACTGAGAAATTGGGGGCAGATTCCTTCCCCTCAGCAAAATTTTTCATCCATAGAATTACATTATTCAAGACATTTTCAATTAAAGACTTGTTTGAAGAAGCTGAGAAATCAAGCGTTATAACTTCTTCTATGACTTCCACAAGATCAAATAGATGATCCATTTCCTTTTTACCAGAAATCGTCAGGTTTCCTTGTCTCTCAAAAAACTCTTTGAAAGACGTCAAAATCCTGAAAAATTAAGCATGAGGTTTTTTCTTGTTAGTTACCTAGCAGGCAGACAAGAATTGGTTAAATACTTATTTTATAATTCTAGAATATACTTTTATTTACTTAACTCAAAGAAAGTTCAAATATCATTTAAATAGCAGCCACAAATTAATCAGCACAAAACCTGAAATAGCATAAACAACAATCACTTTGGTTTTCAAAAATGTGACAAAACTCACCAAAAAGTCCCAGCCACATTCAAATCAAAACCTTAATGTAGGCAGCTAGGTTAAAGAAGCGTGCATTTATCAGTAATTATAATCAAGCTTGTAAGCCACAAAGAGTCAAACACGTTTAATTTAAGTATGTCACATTTTCAGCTGCTGAAAAGTGCAAAGTTTTTATGCTCCACAGACTGATTATTTTATAGAAAGGAACCTATCAATAAAATCAATCAAAACCTCTAAAATTCCGTGAATTCTGAAGAATTTTTTTATCATAATTATTGAAAGCCAAAACATTCCAGTTGACTGACCAATAGCTGAACACTGCTATTTTAATATCTAGAGAAAAAAAACACAGTGAAATGAAATCACAGTGAAAACTGGAATGCTCCATCTGATCATTTCCATTGTGTCAATACTATCTATCAAAAGAAAAAAATGTTTACTCGCTCTGTAAGATTGGTAAAGATTGAGGTGAGTGGAAAAAGGAGCATTCCAATGCAAAGGTCTCAAGTTGAAAAGACCTTTTCCTTAAATATGTTTTCCTTTAATAGTTAAAATGCAGAACACCACAAACCATTAAAAAACTTTGTGAGAGAATTTCTCTGTCAATTACTGGAATGGCTTCTACAGAAGGGAAACCAAGACGTCAAACACTGGGAACAAAAACAAAGCATTCCCCACATAGAATGTCCTTCCTAGGCCTATTCAAGTCAAAGAAGTACCTCTGCATGTATAGCAAAGAAAACCCAAACAAGTCTGGTGATTTTGTTAGTACTACTGTGCAGAGAAAACAGTGCATACTCTAGATAACAGTATTTAAGATCAAATCCAAAGTCTTGCCCTAGCAAATGTGTCTGCATTGATCTTTATAACAAAGTTGGGAAAGAGCACAAAAAAATAGTGATTGAACATTCAAGATACCAATTTGCATTCTACTCCTTAACTTCCATTTTGTTTTCACTGTAGATATCAAGAATATCCAAGATTTTGAAAACCACCACTTTGGTTGCTACTGATAACACAACAGAGATGGAAATGTCTTGTTTAACGCTTTTGAATGACAGTCAAAGACCTTCTTTGCAAGATTCTATTTGTTCCCAGTAATACTGAAAAACACCAGTCATTTGGTGAAATGAGGCAAGGTAATTATGTTCAAGAATTACAAAAGTCCAAAGTGGAGGTGGGATAAAACCGGAAAACAGTTAAACAAAGAAATTACATTGACTAGTTCAACCTTACCGTGCCCATGAAATAAACGGGCAATAATCTGGTAAGTCTTGCAGAAATGCTAAATAATGACCTAGGATGGTCTCCAAACCGAGCTTTTGCCTAGAACATAGAGATGCTCCTAGTCCATCTGCAATGAAAAAAATTTCAACATCAAGAGACAGATCAAAAAAGGTTTATGAACACATCTATGAACAACTTGATTGACTCCCACTGAAACAACCTAAATAAGTCCTACCAAATTTAGGACTTGAATGTATGCAGAAAGAGAAATAGATTACATACACTTTAAAAGAAGTAAATATGCAATTTTTAATTAAAGTGTTTGATGTTAGTTCTACTGAATGATTTAAAAGAACGAAATGCACAGTCAATAAATATCAGCTCTAAATCAGGCATATCTGTCTTTTCCTTACAGAAAAATTCAAAGACAATTCCTTGCAGAAAAAGAAAGAAAAATAATAGACATGTTTTGAATTATACATGAACTACAGAACTAGCTCAAATAAGATTAGTTTTATTATACTAGAGCATGCTTAGTGCTGTACTCGGCACTGAAATGAACTTTAATATTACTTTTTCCTTGGCATTTCAGTAAAGAGAAGGTAGTTCTGTGAAATTCACTATTACTGCCCAGATAACTGAAATATCTAGAACTGTAATAATTACAAAATCTGTACAATCTATTCATGTTTGAAAAGTTCACTTCATTAACACAGTTCTTCAATTTAAAAAGTACGGCTTATTTTTACATACACTCCACAGCTGCCCACTTACTGATGAGGTATTCAGCACATTTCTGATTAGCTCTACTAAGAAAAAGAGCAGGGCGGGGGGGGGAAGTGTGTTCAGAAAAAACATATCTTTAGCAAGAACAAGATTTTTCACAAATCCCAAGAACAAGCTTTACAAAAATCCATCAGTAACCTAAGTCCTTCAGAAGCTGGAAATATAAGTGGTTAAAAAAAAGGTAGAAATGGGAGCATGGTGAGAATACCTAAAGGAAACAAACAGGTGACAATGGGTGAGGTCATTTTTTAGATCAACATTTGGATCAACCTCATTGTGTCCTGCTTCATAGCTCTGTTAAAACGTTGAGAAGAGCAATACAAATATGTAACGAGAAAGAATTCCGAAATGGAAGTTCTCCCATTCCTCAGCATAAATCTCAGATATTTCAAAGTTTTCCCCAAATAATGACAAACTAGTGTATTCCAAGAAAGTTAACAGCGGATGGATCAGGACATCTGGAATATCACAGGACAACTGACATGAAGAAAATCAAACATCAAGTCCTTGCCTAATACAAAATAATCCTAGAAATACCTCTACTGGGTGACCAGCTAGTCTGGTCTCCCATTTATATCCTGGACTTAAGAAGCCTTCCTGACAGAATACTGTTGCAAAAGTAGAGATTCCAACCAGGTTCACCCAGCTGGAATTTCCCCAATAGAAACGGGCAATCCAAAAATTTTCCGGCTGGCACTAAAATCACAGCTATGTACAAGCATCAGGCTCTGTATATTACAAGTTCTCCTTGCTAATGATTCAGTCAGCCGATAAATCCCAAGGTTGATGGAAAAATAAACAGAAACAGGCTCACAAATATAAAAACCATCACCTTTTCCCTTTCCAAAGAATACTGTACTCTAAAACAGACAGGGAACCATCAGAATAAAGCCTGTGCTATGCAGTAGCTCTTTACTCACCTGACTGGCCTCCCATGGAGCCTGCTTCCTCATTCATGTATTGAGCTACATTGCATGTCCAACTGACAAAATCTGTTAAATCCTTCCAGTATAGGTTTCCCTCAAAAGCAAACAAAATTTCTTCAAGTGTATCATTAATTCTGAAATGACAGAGAAAACAAGGCTACCATAATTAAATCAGAGATTTATTCCAAAGTCAAATTACCTTGTGAACACATGCCATTTCTCTGTAAATCTCTAGCTAAATTCTATTGCTACTTTGTTCATACCAACAGCCCCACCGGCTTAGGGAAGAACTGAGGCAGGCAGGCTAATAGCAGAGTCCTTTGCTAAAGAAATCAGCAGCATAGCTACTACATCACTCTAAGCACAACTAGACTTTACTACACAGGTTTGTGAGCAGGAAAACACAAAACAAAACTAAAAAGCCTTCTAAGAAATCCCCAACAAAATTTTCTGATTCAAAAAGTAGCACTTTGAAATTGGAAAGAATTATCAAGAAATGCTTCCTCGTGTCCTGAAATACACCTTTGCGTTAAAAAAAAAAAAACATTGCTTTGTCCCTGAAAAAAACCAACCAACCAAAACAACAACAAAACACTTTGCATAAAAATAGCATTGAGCTTTTCTTGCTCTTTAATGTTGCTTAAACACAAGCTTCTATTCCCAGGGGTCTTTTAGCTCTATCAGCGGTTTTGATGCTCAAAAATTGAAATGTAAAACTAGTCCTTGTGGTGATTTCATAGTCATTTAGAAACACGGACAGAGGGAAGGCAATCAACAATTGATCAACAGCAAAAGGGACATGAAAAAATGACATAAATTTTCTAACATCTAAGATGTTATTAATATCTGTGGATTTAATCCCTGCCGTCAATGCAGCTTGTAGAATTTCTGATAGATTCTTGAATGCTTAGAGCTAATAGTCTCACTACTTTAATAGCAAACTCTTCTGTAAAGTTTCTCATATGTGTAAGTAATGTAGATAAACGTGTAGAAGACAACTAAGTTTGTGACCTACAACATCCGTCCAGTATAAATGCAACTTCACATTAAACGCATTATGCTCATGCTTTACATCGCCAAGGACGAAGAATAAAATCCTATCCTATTTTAAAGCACTTTATTGATATAGGGATTTTTCTCTAATATACTCTGATTTAACATCATTAAAACTTGAAATCAGTAGAATTACTGAGTAATTGCAAATGACAATCAATTTGCTAAAAAGATGAATGGATTTCCTGCCCAAATAGAGGAATGGTGACCACTTGATGTGTTCAGAAAGCAGCTTGAGGCTGCAACAGACCTCCTAGTGCATGTCCTAACTACTCTCTTGAATGTTTTCCTGCATCTCCCAGGAGTCTTTCAGATCCTTTTCCAAGCACTCTGAGCAGCACAGTACTAGATAAGTATGTACCAGGAGGCAGGCTGAGAAGCAGCAGAAAATGCTTGGATGTGAGAAGATAAAAAGGGAAGATAGGCTTTTAGAATCCTAGATACCTGCCTGTCCTCAGTCTATTTCTACCCCTACCCCCCTCCCCAAATACTACTACTACAAAAAAAAAAAAAAAAAAAAAAAGCGCCTCTACCTTCCTGTTTGTGCCTATAGAAAACTGATAACACTGGGTGGTAATCAAAAGCAAAAAGCAGGGTTATAACCTTTTTATCTATTCAGTCACTCGTTATAATACCTTACTCTAGGCTGGTACCAGTCAAGACCTTTATGTATTAAATGATATACAAGATACATACAGTGACAAGAGCAGCTGTTCCTGACAAGAGCTGAAATGGACATCCTCTTCAGATGGTGCCTCTGTGCTTGGCAATTGATTAATTTCACAGTAATAAGCATAATTTTTGGTTAGCTGCTCTTCTATTTCTTGCCATCCCAAATATTCATCCATTATTGAATCTGGCAGGCTTTGTCGTTCCTGAGTTACTTTCTGCAGAAGCAGGACCTTTCACAGTAAAGAAAGCAATATTTGAAACCAGTGAAAGGGAAACTCACCTGAGACTTTGGCCCTGCTTCTTAGATTTGTAATACTGATGATATTGAAATCCAACATAAGACGGACTAAACGACCAGTCTTTCAAACCTTGTCATTTTTTTTCTGGAAGCCACAGCTACTTAGTATTTCTAAAATGCCACATTCACTCAAGAGAGTCCGAAGGACCACTTGTGCCTTGCCCCCAAGCACATTTTAATCAGTTTAAATAATCAGTTACCCATCTACTTATTAATAGCAAACACTTAGTAGTAAGCTACAACCCCTGCTAATTTATTTAATTTTGTAATAGTAATATAAGCAAGGCACTGCAAGCTTTAAACATGAAAAAAATTCAGAAATACTTACAGATTCCTTTAGTGACTGGACCTGGTTACTCAGCTTGAAGGTCACCTCTGAGCCATTGCCAGGGCACATGTGTATTGCTAAAATGTCAATGTCATCTGAACCCTGTGGAAGTCTCAGGGTCTTCTCAAACATTGTAAGCGTGTCATTGCATATATAGGAAGCATTGCTCATCAACATCTACAATTCAATGAATATACTATCACTTTAAAAATGAACTTGGGTGAAGGAACAGATTTAATTCAGACTCCATATTAATTCTCACAACAAAATGTCAAAAGACAAAAAAGTACAAAGTAAAGTTCAACCAAAATACTGCTGAATAAACTCTACCTAGTAAGTACTTTTTATCCCCAAAAATAAGCCTCTGCAGCTTTATGCTAATTAATATAGAAACATTAACAACACACCTGTTTTAACTCCACAAAGAGCTTTCTGATGTCTAGATGAATTAATCCATCTCTTTGGGCAAAGGGAATCAGTTTTTCCAGGCCACGTAAAGCTTCTGTAAGACATTCCCCACACACACACCCCATAAAGAAAATGTTTAACCCACAGAGCAATTCAGGGACAGTACAGTAGGAAGCATCCTTCTAGGAAAGAAAACTGTGCATGATATGGTTTAAAGATACACCAGTTAAAGGCATAAAGGTTCCACTTTGGTTTAGATGCCACCCCTGCCGAAAGCACTCTATTTGCATAAAATATGTACACAGTTGCACTCCGCACTTCTGAGGAGCAAAGACGGCTCCTCCTGCACCACCACTGAAAAAGGCTCATCAAGACAAGGCAGAAAGAAGAGACTAGTCTCTTACACCAGCAAAAGCATGACTCTGTCCCTTTTCAGTTATACCAGAGTAGCTCCAATGACTTCAGTGAGTTTTCATGATTTTCAGGAAAGGAAAATGAGGTCCTGTGTGGGCTTCCAGCTATGAATACTGAAATAAACTTAGACTCCTTCCATATATAACTGTTCATTTAGCCAGCAAATTCTTCTGAAATACAGAAAGGTGGTGTAATTCCTTAAGCTCCCAAGCAAAACTAATCTCGCCCTTCTCAAATAAAAGACAACCCCAGAAATGCTACCAGGTCACATCAGGGAGCTGCCAAATCCAGTAGCCCTACAGAGGTGAGGCTGCCATAGCTCCATGCCCCCAGGTCCAACCGCCAGCAAGGCTGGGTAGGTAGGCCCACAAGCTAACGCGTACACAGTCAATGCACATGGGCGGCCACACAGATCAACAGACTGACACACACAGCACTCACACGCACACACAAACAGCACAACTGGCCTCATCCTGTTCACCTGCCTGGCTGTTCAGGATGGAGGTCTGTTACAGGGAATACATGTGTGTATATACACACACACACACACACAGTGTGGATCCCCCCTAGCAGCTGGGCTCAGACATCCAGTCTGCCCAGCAGCTGCCCTTGGATCCCAGTCTCCCTCCCCAGTTTCTGGGACCTGGGCATATGAGCCTTTGAGGCTGCAGCCCTGCTCCAGCTTCCAGTAGAGACGTGCTTGCTCACACACACAGTGGAGCCCTGCAATAACTGCTCTTGGACACTCAGTCCATCTAGCAGTTGGTCCCTCAGCTCTTCCCAGCTGCCTCACGCATAGGAGGTACACTAACAGGTCTCTCAGTCAACCCTCACACCCCATCGTCCCTCTCGTGTTGGCCTGGACCTCCTGGTTCTTCCAATAGCTGACCCCTGCTCACTGTCAGAGAAGTGCACACCTCCTCAGCTCCCAGGCCACCTCACCCACCCTTCAGCTATTCCAGCCTGATATTCACTAGCCATCACACACTGACATGTCCACTCTCACTCACTCTAGTTTCTGGCACCAAGGACACACAGGTCCCATTCCATTTGCTGGCACTTGATTTCACTCACTCCAGTCCTTCCAGTTGTTGCTACAGGCCCCGACACATCCCATGGTCTGACCTCAGTTGCTGCACACAGACCCCCATACACACACTTGCGCACAGAAGAGAGTGCTCACACAGGAAGAGTTAGAAATGGAGTTTAGAGAGAAGGCAGGACAGCCTGCAGTGGTCAGGTGCAGGGTATGGCCAGGCAAGCATATTGACTAAGCAGCCTGTTCATATTCAAGCAGTCCCTTTCATCACCTTACTTCTGCTTTCCCATACTTGCTCCTCCCCAAACCACCTAGATCACTTCCTCTCCCCACCTTTGGTTCCTCTTCCAAACCTCCCATACTAAGTCTGCTGCAATCCCAAAATGCTCTTCCCCTGCCTCCCATAACGACTCCCATACCCATAGGCAGTAATCCCCTCAGTCTGTAAGGTGACCCAGCCTTTGAGGATCCAGAACAGTGTACCATTTGCGTTTTCCCACTTGCCACTGTTTCTCTATACTCCTTTGTGCGGACAGAGAGGAGCATTTTACCATATGAGCTGAGAGGACAGATGCCCAGCTGTAGTGAATCAGTATAACTCCACCATCATGAAGGAAGGTATACTGACATACAAAACTGTGTAGCATGCTTCAAATCAAGGCATCCTAAAAAGGAGACTACAGAAACTATCCTGAAGTTTCAGAGGTGTCTTGCAGGTTTGGGCACACAAGTAAATCAGGATTCCGTAATACAACTAGGAGTACTGATTCCATGTGGCTGTGTGCTATAAAACAAAACCCACAAGATAAAAATGACACCTTTTCGTCCAATGACCTTACGAGCCCAGAAGATAAACAATCAGCAAACCTTTATTATTAAATGTCCTAAAATGCACCTTTGGAAAATTACGTTGAAAGACTACTTGTTTTCTTGAGATCTGCTCCCTGCTACACACTCAGTCCTCGTTCCTGTTTACAGTCTGGTTCAGTTAGCTGATACAGGTAAAGGGTATGTTGGATTATAGTTTTTTTTTTTGTGTATCAACAAGAGAACTGCTCCCTAAATTCCCACAGTAATCAGCTATAAAGTCATTAAAGGCAAGAAGCACACGTCATACAACATAACCCAAGGAAAGTGGGCCTTGTTGTAATATGACCTGCACAATTTTTACTCCTAGTAATGACACACAGCATTAAAATACACAGTACTTGCATCAGATCCTGTGTTAATTTCCAACAGCGATCTTCAAACGAGAGGTTTTTATTTGTAATCTGAAGACATCTGAGCTAGATCAAGGACAAAATTGCACAATTTCAGTGGCATCTTGGACAAAATTTGTACTTTTAATATATCGTTTATTCTTTACTGTAAATTCATATGCAATTATCAAGTAATTTAAGACTATCAATGTCCCTGAAACGATTAAAGTGGTTTTTCACATACCTAATCACAACTGAGTAATAATACAAGTGTTCTTCCTATATATATTCACATTACAGTATTGCAGGTCTCCACTAAAAGGTTTCACAGAAAGATATCTTGTCTCTTTTCCTTTTTCCTTTTCTTTTTTTTTTTCTTTAAATCCAGATCTGTGTGGACCTTATAATATGATTATATTGCCAACCAACTCCTGGGTATTATGGTGCTGAGTATCACACAATCTGAGTCCTAGCACACTGTGTAATGCTATAAATGTATTCCAAATCTGAAAGTCATAATTGCTGAACAGACACATTTACAAGAACTTCATGGGAGTTAGTTCATCTTGTTCAGTCAAACTGCTAAAAACAGATCCAGTTCCCTAACTTCTTGTAAAATACACCTTCACTTGCCCCGAGTTCTTCAATACTATCCCTTCTCTTCTGTGCATTGCATCTTCCACTTCCTTCACCGTCAGCCTAGCTTTGTGTCCAAAAGCATAGCCCCCAGAGAAAGAACCACCCTGCCTCTGCTTCACAGCCCTCAATCAAATTCTTAAAGAGATTAGAAAATCTGTATGTCCAACTCAGCGTTTTGATTCACTTGCAATGACCAGCCAGAAAAGTCAAGTTGCATCTAAATCTAAAACCCATACCTCTTATTCACACATGACTGATGGCATCAGAAACTTCTCAGGCATTGATAACTTTAATTTTTATTGAGCAGGCTTATTTTCTTGAGTTAGATCTTTAAACAGCCACCACAGCAGCATACAACATCATGTAAGATGCCTAAGGAAATTGTTTATTCCTGATATGAGAAGTGAAAATGGGTATTATGTTGTGTTCTATCATCACTAAGGGAAACAAAATTTTAGGAATTCAAAAGCTGCTGTAAATATCTAAGTGTGACATGTACTACAGAGCCCAAATGCCTTCCTAGAGGTAAAATGTTATCCATTTCCCATGTTACTCTGTGGAAGTAATTTCAGTGTTAGTAAAAAGTAATCACCATGCAGCTTTACCTTCAGTGAAGTATAAATACTGTGCTATTACATTCTTTATAGCTCCATCTACCAGAAGCAATCTCTTCATAACAGGCCACTGAGGTGCATCCTGAAGTACAGACTGCATTCTCTTCAGATGCAGGATTCTGCAATCAAAAGAGGTAGAGCACAGAAACATTGTATACTACAAACAAAAAGGTAAAGTTGCTGAAAAATTATAGGATTTTTTTTTTTGTGCAGTCACTATATCACCTACTTTGTAGTTTCTTGGAAGACCAGCAGTATAGCAGTTTCCTCTTATCAAAAAAAGAACCAAATTCCAAGATGCACTACTAAATTATTGAACAATTTGACTGCAGTCTTTCTCTTAACAGTAAATAATGGATCGTATCTTTCACCTTTATCCTCAGATGTTGATTTGTATAGCATGGATCACATCTCCTCCAATGAAGGACTGTTTTTGATACGAACAAGTAGGGCTATTACAAGCAATGCCAAATTGAGGCCAACATTATAACTCCTAGAGGCGATACAAGTCATCCAATGGGCAGTTAGAAAGAGAGAGGTATCAGTTCCTGTGCTCTGTCACAGATTTTTCATGAGGCCCTGCCAACTCTGACAAACATTAACTCCCTGTATCTACAACTTTTAAGTCCTGTGTAGAACCTTCCAGATCATTTATAACAAGTCCTTCTTTTTTTTTTTTTTTTAAATAGATAGGGAAACAGAGCTCTTAAACTACTTTATTTTGCATAAATTGCTCAGAAGAATTGTCTTGATTTTATTTTAAAACATATGCTGTGAATCAGAATACCTGAAATTAAAGCACACTCAATCTTTACAAGCTTGTAGTTGTACTTGTCCTGAAATTGGAATTGAAGGCATTTCCAAAGTTGCAACAAAATTAGATTAGTGACCAAGTGCTGAAAGAATAACTCTACTGTACAGGAAGATTTGGACTGCTTCAACAAAACAAATAATTCTGAATAAGTACAGAACTTATAGCAATATCTTCACATAAACTGCTTACATTTGCATTAAGTGATTAGCCAAACGGAGAACTCGAAACTCTAAGCTCAAAAACATTAAAAGAAATCTTAGCCTCAGAGTGCCCTAGATAAGATTGGAAACTACATTTATATAAGCATACAGAATTACAATGCAATTCTGTTCTCCATAGCAGGCTTCTGTTCCAAGATCTCCTGCACAAACTCACACAAGTATGACTCATACAACAAAAATCCAAAATGTTTCAGATGCACTGGACCTGCTGTACGTGAGTAGATTGATCCTACAGCATGGATCCATGGGAAGCATTACTGAGTCACAGCAACTACTTGTGGGAATTAGACTCTGTTTGCAGAACAAAATATAGAATTCAGGTCCTAGTTCAAAACGCTTAGTTATACACAGCTGCTGATTCCTATGAGTCCTGATCATATACTCAGTTTTGCTGAACCTGTAAGTAGCTATACTCTGAATCACAGATTTCTTTTTCCAGAATGTATATGCATCAGCAAAATTATTTGACTGTATATGAGGTTTTGAATTACAGAATAAAAAAATAAAACAGAGAAAAATCAGAAATCAATTACATGTGAAAATAAATAATCAAGTTGATCTGAACTTTGTAATACAAGTTGCAGAAAGATAAGCATAACTTACAGACTGTGAGATGCAGTATATCCTTCTGAAAAGTAGGTATCTGATTTCTCATTCCATTCATGAATCAGGGTATTTATAGCTGAAAAAAGTTTCCTGGCTTCCCTTTCATCTAGAAACTGAGACATTAAATCGGCTATGATTCTTTCAAGTTCCAAAAGGAGTTTCTGAGAGACCCTGCTGCCGCTGTTTCAAACACCTGGCAGATTGAAAGCAAAACAGAATGCACCTTGTTAGATAATCAAAGCTTTTTTTATTCAGACAATACACTGAATTTGCATGTCTTTAAAAAAAACAAACAAACAATAATTAACAATGATAGTAAAAATTCTCTCCAACAACGTGTCTAGACTCTGAAATGACTGGCCTCACAAAGGTTGATTTTTAATACAGTTTGGACTGACCTGCAAGTTGGTAATATAACATGCTTTCCCTTACAGGACTTCTATCTACACTACCAACATGATGGAAGGCAGCAGCCTCAACATTTTTGGGGTTCCATTACACAAAGAGATGGAGAAGGAGCCTGCATGCTCTCATTGCGTAGCCTACAATAAGGCATACCAAGGCCTGGCCAAATCCACTGACAGCTCTCCTTTCCTCCACTATTACATTTTTTTTAATGCCAACTGGTTACAACAGATTTTTACTATAAGAGATGTTCTGTTCACCAAGGGAATTCCCAGCAGCTTACAGTACTTCAAGTTGCCATCATAAGGATGTCAGCTCTTACAAAAAGTTTTAAAATCATGGTTGAAATTATTACTGTATTTTCCTACAGCTACAATAGGAAGTAGTGCATTAGTTTGGGCAATCACGTTAAATTATCAAGTCGTCATAAATCAGTGCAACCTTTATCAAAAGATAAATCAAAGAATACATTTTTGAGGAAATACACAGTAAAGCTCTACATGCTTTCTTTAGCCAATACTGCAAACATCTCCAGAGCAGCTTGATACACAGCTGATATTTTTTTAATGGGGGGAAAAAAGAAAGCTAACATATTTCAGTGGAAAAACAAACACCAGCGTTAAGGCAGCTAAGTAAGTGTTTTCCTTAGGAAACATCTGAATGGTTTATCCTTTTCTCCATGCAACTACACATATGTCATCAAAGAGACTGCAAGCCTAACTGTTCTGCCAGAGCAGAATTTTAAGATACTGTACTGGAGATTTACTCTCATTCCCTTCAACATGCTTCAGCCACTACTGCTAGAGGCAGTGCCAGGGAATTAAAAATAAATTAATTATATTCTATATAAGCAGAGGCCTGTAGTCTGCTTTCAGCTTTGCTCAAATTTCAGGCTCAGGTGGGACAGTAAATGGGTCTTTCTTCTGTCAGGCCTCTGCAGTGTAGTATATTTCACTATATTCCCTATTAGATTTCAAATCTGTATTTGAGTTAATGAGAAAATCTGATTAAGTGAATACATGGTGATAGATTATACTTCCACTGTAACGATTCTTTATAAGGATTACTTTGCCTTATTAGCAAGATGGAAAAAGTTCATGACAATAACATTTAATAGGGAACTCAGATCTTTTAACTGAGTTACTGTTGACAGCCTACATGCAAAAATTAGGAATTTAATCTATTAACTTATTAAAGTGTACCTGTGCATAGAGTCTGAGCTTGCTGACAGCATGAACAAGATACAGTTTGGCCTCATGCCGTGCAGAAATACAGCCCTCTTCATTATTCTCTTTGTTTGCTTCATTTTCTGGCACACTGGACAGAGCAGAGCACACAAACCGCTCCAGTGTCTCTCCTGTGGGAATCTGGCAGGGACATAAGAAATTGGTGAGTATCTCAAGAGGGCTGCTGAGTGTTATCTCTGCTATCAACTTACTTATCTGGTGAAAAAAGAATACCACATAGCTTCCTTCAGTGAGAACGAAGCCCATTTAATTAATAAGAGCCCAGCCTCATATGCTGGGGCACATACTTCAAAGTACTTCACATGCAGAGTGCTGTATAAAATACCAGCGATCCCATTAGGGTAGTCATACAGCAGGCAGAATGACAAGACCTGTATATGCAAGGAATTTTCACCATGTTGCTATACCGGTGTAGCTACTGCTACAGTCATTTGCAGGCTGATGCTGAACTAACTTGACAATGATACAGAACACCTACACTAGAATAACTATATCAAAGTAACTTCACAAGTATAAAAATTACTGATGTAAAACCCACTCAGCACAATGATAGATATCAACCAATGATTACATGCAGCAGACTAGTTTTAATTGAAGTTGGCAGGTTTCAGCAGTGTAGACAAGAGGCAAGGATTTTTTCCTGATAGCCTGACTTCCAAATTCCATGTTGAAAGATGTATTGTTCCCAATCATATAAATAATATTAAAGCATACAAAAATAATTTAGCACATTTTAATTCTTCCTATTAATGTCTTTCTGAGACACTTTACATCCTAACTCCTTTCAACTGTGACTAGAAAATTTATTAAAAGTTTTGCTGATATTTTGACACCAAATGAGCTGAGGGATTAGATACAGAAGGGAAATGCTCAGAACAGACATTGTCCAGGTTTCCATATTTCCGTTCACACTTTTTAAGCATCTTCAATGCCCTAACACAAGCACACAATATCAAGATATTAGTTTAAACAGCTAGCAAGGGAGTTGCCTGGGATTACACTGCCAACCATAGCTACCAGGCTGCAGTCGAATTCAGTTCAGTTGATCAAACTGGCCATCACTGATATTTCATTAAAAGGCCATGCACAAGTCAAGGGGTTTTTTAATATAATTTATCCTTTCGTGTAAATCAGTTATTTTTATAATGAGTTCTTCTGGAGTACAGCTCTAGACTGTACTTGTGAAAGAATAAACAAATTTCAGATAAATAGCAACATATCCTATTAAAAAACTGTGGACTTTAGTAGAAATTCAAAGGATGTTTCAAGTTTTCTGCAGTTCAAACTAGACCATCACAACAGATCACTTTGGTCTAGAAGATGTTAGAAAGCCCTCCTTGAGAAAAAAGATTTTTTTCAAAATTTGACACGTCACCAGTATGTTTCAATAACCCCACTGAGACAACTCATCAGTCAAGTATATTGATATCAAGACTGCACAACTGAGAAGAAAGGACTCTTGATGTGCCTTAATTTATCCACAGAAGAGAGCGCCATTCTTTGTCCAGTAAATTAGATGCAAAATGCTACCTGCCAAATTAATCCAGGCAGCTTCAAATCTATGATTTAGTTTAAAAGCTTAGTGGACCAAACCCCAGATTTCTCTACAGATTTTGATAATAAACTCAGGACTTTGCCATACTCAGTCATGACTTCAGAGAAGTATAAGTTCACTAATGTACACAACTCAATCCATCAGCATCTTCATGTGCAGAAATTTCAGCTGAAGCTAAATACATTTATTTTGATGGAAATGAATCCAGGATATTTAGCAGTCTTGTAGCTGCTTCACAAATCTAAGATATGACTATAGATTCTGTAAGGCATGAAAGGTCCCTTCAGGGTAGAAATTAAAAAAAAGATGAGAGAGAGGGACACAGAAATTTTCAAGGTATCTACCTTTGTTAATTGTGCTGTATAACTAAGCAGCTTCTCAACATGACGATCATCAAAACCAAACCTGGATTCAAGTTCTGCTCTCACAGCACGTCGATTCCACAAAATATCCCCAAGAGAAAGATTATACTGAAAACCTGAAAGACAGAAAACCTTCTGTTTAC